GGGGGAAAAAGGAAGCTTTGATTTCAACAGCTAAAGTGAGGTCCTTCCCTCCTCCTCCCCTATGGGAACTGGCAAACTCAGCTCTTTAATGGTTCAAACTCATCTCAGCCTTGCCTATAAATAGATAAATGAGATTCCTCCTGTCCCAGTGAGTAATTCTGACATCCTCCTGCTGCCTCAGAGAGCTGAGTCACAGGCACTCTGCACTCCAGTCCTTGCATTACTTACATGGTCTCAAAGGAAATTTTAACACATCCAATGAATCATCAGGGATTGGATCATGTTTAAAGTTATTCCATTGGCATTTCCCTTCCATTGTAGCAAGTCTGCCAATACCTAAAACTTTGGCTAATCTGGACTCAAAACACATTGAGGAAATAGCATGTTTACATATACAGCTACTAATAAAAAAAATAATAAAAAGTCTTTTTAAATTTGCAACAAAAAACAGGTGACCCTTAGTGGATTCCTCTAGTGCTTTTGGACCTGCTAATTTTGTCAGACTCTTCCTTTTTTTTTGTAGCTGCTTATTTAAAGGAACTCAGAATTTGAAATGTTTACTATTCAGTCATTAGGTCCCTAATTTAATCTCCTGCCGATTTCCAGCCAAAATATTATTTTCACTGAGATGAAGCTTACAGCCCCATGCTCATTCTCTCTCAGACACACATTCCTGGTCTTACCCATGATAAAAATAAAATGCCTGTAAAGCAAAGACAAAACCAGAGCAGTATTAAGTACAGAACACAGGGCAGCGATACATCACTGTATGAGCCTCATACACCTTGCCTTTTCCCAGGTGGTACAGAGTAGTCTCATTGGTTTAGAATCAACACAGCATTTGAAATCAGAACATCTCTCTCTCTTTCCCTCCCTCAGAAAACATCTGGAAGAGTGGAAAATTCTCCAGCAGAATTTGGGGGCTGTGAAACAAATACAGAAATATTTCTCTCTGTTGGTTTTCTGGCTTGCCTTTCGTATCTTAGAACTGGTTGGGAGATTTCACTCATTATTACCAGACTTGGTTTCAGTCAGTGAGAAATGCTAACAGTTTCTGGTTTGCTGTTGTGGTTTGGTATTCTTAGACCTAAAACCTGGTTTGTTCTTTTGATAACTCTAGGAAATCTGTGTCGTATTTAAATAACATTTTTCTAGTACCTTTTCATCAGGCAGTTCTCCGCCTGTGCATAGATTGTTAACAAGTGTTTACTCCACACATTCCAGCCAGAGCTGCAGTTGCTCCATGAGACGCTTCTGTTGCAAGGCTGGTTGGGTTATTTATCAGCCCAAAACAGCCTTCACTGCCAGTTTGCTGCCAGCTGTTAACTATACAATAGCATTGAGAACAAAATCAGTTCTGGCTCTGCCAGTGGAGTTGGACATAATTCAGCTACCTGTTGACAAATGATTTGTTTAACAGCATAAACTATAATATTTTTATAGCCAAAAGTTTTCACCCTCCTCTGCAGCTGGTAACAAAACCTGAGGAGTTCCCAGAAGTTCCTCACTTGTGTCTTTTTCAAGTTTTCTTACAGCACTGCCTTGTATTGTTGTCTCTGTGCAGGAAAAGACATCCTTAATGGGCAAAGCAGTGGTGTCTGCATGCTGCTGGAACAGGGTAGCTGCATTTCTTGGTGCCACTTGTTTGGTTGGGCTCTGAAGCAGCAATGCCCACTGGACAGTGGGGCTGTAGGGATGCTCCAGGACAAGCCAGAGGCCTGAAAACAAGCCAGCGTTTCTGTAAAGCATTAATCACCCTGTGCAGGGCCGGGCACTGGGAACGGGGTGAGAGTTCTCTCGCAGCACACACATGGTTTCTATCTAAGCTTTGTTTCAGCTGGATCTTTCCCACTAATGCATCCTTCTTTAACACCTTGTACTCATTTACTGTGGGGCTGTTTAGCAGCACAAATCAATTAAGTGCTGCAGAAACCCACTGAGACAGGGAGAGTTCCCTGTCTCTGGTTCAGCTGGGGTGGGAGGCACGCAGAGGTTAAGCCTGTGCTTTTTGCCACACAGGGAGCAAGGGTGGAGCATGGAGCAGCCCCCAGCTCATCTCCTGTTTCGATTTCAGCCCTCCCCAGCACCCTCAGAGAGATTCGCAGCTGCTCCAGGAGATCTGAGGGCCTTGGGGAACTTCTCATCTGGCATCAAATAATCGGAGAACTGGAGAGTGCCAGCCCTGCTGCCATATTGCACTGAGACTGGCCAGGGAGCCTCACTGAGCGGGGCTTAGCAGTCCTGAGGTACCCAGCTGTGCCCTGTAACAGAGACAGGATTCAGTGTTGGCCTCCAAGCTCACCTTCATGTGTCTCACAGGTTTGTCCATCATGAAATTGCTTAGACCTGATGGGGAAATCACTGCTCAGTGGTTTAGCTACAACTGGCCAGAGGGATGTGCAGGGGTTCAGGAAGTAATAAAGTCACAAATTTTGAATGAGAATAGAGTCAGAAAAAATGAATAACTTTTAAATAATCATTTGGTTGGTCTTGTTCCAAGTGTAACACCAGCTCAGCGTGCCAGGCAGAGCTCAGGAAGTGCCTACCAGCTGCTGGCCCCATGGGAATGGGATGCAGAGATGTGCCTCTGCTGCAGGCTGGGCTGGAGCTGCTCACACACAGCACAGGCTCCAGAAACAGGAGAGAGTAATTCAAGCCACATGATAAAGCTGATCCATACAATGAAGGAAGATAAAGCCTAACCAAGCAGTTCCTGCTCCCCATGGGTGTCTCTCAGGAGGGCCTGAAGCTGTGAAACATGCCCTCAGCTCACAGAGACCATTAATCATGAGTGTGCCTTAGTCCCTGGCTATTTTAATCACTGTTGAAATACGCACTCCTAAAAATGGTATTTGATTCCAATGCACATGATTTCCTTTGGCTTCCTTTCCCCCAATTAAGTGCAAGCTGTAACTACTTGGAGGTCCACATTCTGGGATCCACAGATTTGTTTCTCACCTTCACAGAGTATAAGATCCATGACACCAGATATAACTATCAGAATATACTGTAATGGGGCTGTGGCCTGAGTGTGGTACCAACCTGTCCTGTGCAACTGCACACTGGAAATGTCACTGGGTCCTACTGGATCATCAGTCCTTCCCTGTTGCAGTTTATTATGTAATGATTGAAAATGCCTCTTGTATATGCTGACACTACTCAGGATGTCAGTCTGTTGTTGGAGAAGTGAATGAATCATCACAAGTGGATGAACTGGGATTATATTTGTAAAGGGTAGGCTGTAGAAACAAGTAGGTCTTTAATTTTTCCTTTAAAAACACTGAGCAAAAGTCACAGGAAGTTTAAAGAGAGAACAAATTGTTCTTCCACAGGTTCAGAAGCACAGCAGAGTGTCCTTGTACTGCTCAGCTTCTCTCATGAGGCAGATGAGCAGCCTGAGGAGTCTGGGGATGCCTTCCTTGAAGTGCAGACTGAATGGATCATGCCCAGCTCCATGGGCTTACTGGTACTCTAATTTACAAACTGGATTGCCACAACTCTGAATTTCTCTGCAATTTTTGTCTATGAGAGTGTTGTTATTGAGCTTAAAGAACCAGTCTGAGTTTACAGACAGAAAGAAAAAGCAAAGTTTACAGGAATATCAGCTTAAAAATATAAGGAACATTTTGCAGGTACACTAATCATCAGGGACCCCTTCAGTGTTTGTCACACTGAGCCAGGTCACGGGCTCATGACAGCAGAACAAATAGCCAAGAGGAGTCTTTACTATTATAATGTGGGATTTAAATCATTAGAACCAACAACATTATTTACTTGGGACACCACAACTGGGTTTTGTTTGTTTGTTTGAAAGCTGCATATAAAGCAGCATCAAGCTCAGTAACAAGAGGACTTTCTGTCTGTTGGGCTTCCAGGTTAAGAAGACAAATCCTGCTCCAATAACGTAACAAATTTTTCAAACTTGATGAGTTTGAAAAGCTCAGAGAAAGGCACAGTCATGCTGATGAGTTTGTCTGCTGAACTTCAGACCCAGGGATGTCAGCTCACTTTGCTGGGGTATTGTTTTGGCTTTTTTCTTTAAAAAGTACCAAGTATCAGCCTTTGAATCCCAGGCAATACAAACTGGGCAGCAGAACAGGGTCCAGCTCGTGTGAAGGTTGGCCCAGCCATCCCACTGGAGAAGTTGTAGTTTCTTTCCCACCAACTCCAGCAAATGTTCTCTTGGTGAAACATGGCCAATTCTGGTCCAATTAAAAAGACAGCCCAATAACCACCTGCTATAGCTAAAGGTTCCTTGAAAGCCTGGATTTATTCAGTCTTGCTGAAAAGCAAATGTTTAAGCTGTGACAAAGTTTGCCTAAATAACTCTATTTCTTCTGTGAAGCAGCTGTTTATTCATCAGAAACTACAGCAAAGTACCACAGGGCTTCAATAAAAGAAATCAATAAATTTGCCTGCAAAGTATATTTCCTGCTCTGATTTTATTCCACATATGTGTCTGACATACAATTTATGTTTGATTGAATGTACCACATTGAACTGTTCTGGACAGGAGCTGTGCACTGAGAGCAGCTGATAACAGTGCAAGGCATTTCAGCAAGCCTCCCCTGCAGTGAGAGACTCCTTGCAGGCATTAACAGAATTACTTGTACTTGAAGAGAAATTTTTTTTTTTTTCCCCCTTTTCCCTTTTGGAATCTCACCCTACACCATTTGCTCTGTGCTGTCTCGGGTCAGTTCTCTGTGGGCAGTGGTAACACTGTCACCAAACCAGACTCCCTGCACCTTCCAAGGATGGGCAAAGCAGCATCAGTGGCTGAGGCTTAGTTCATTTGCTGTTACCTGTTTTTCACAGAAAAAATTGTGTGCATGTGAGGACCAATGTGTTTTATTTCAGCAGGATCTCTCTTTATGTTCATGATGCTTAGCACAGACTGGGGATGGCAACCTGAAGGAAGTCTGGGGCAGTGCTTAGCAGCAGTAGAAGGTGAGGATATCACCTGAGACTGAGTCTGAAAAAAACCCATAATTGCCTGCAAATACTTTTCAAAACACTTTTATTTTAGGTATTTCTGCTTTTTTTTTTTTTTTTTAAGCTAAATTGGCGGTGTTAAGTGGCACTGAACTTTAAAAATAAAAATAATTCAGTCTAGTCAGATTTGTTCTTGAAGTGGCTTGGTGTGGGCACTAAGAAATGCACTTTGGTTTGCTGACAATGTCCTCAAGTGTTAAAGAGGCATCAGCAGGGCTGGATCCCACTGCAGGATGTGCACAAGGGATCCTGCATGTGAACCCAAGTGACCCTACAGACCTCTGCTGCACCAACCCTCCTCTGACAGGCAGTGTGGCAGCTGGGAGAGCTGTTTGGGAACAGATCTGACAAAACCACCACCAAACCACGGTGCTCTCCTATTTCACACACATGGAGGGCTTTGTCCATGGAGGCCAGGATAAGAAGGCAACTTGCAGCTTGCCACAAGGGACAAGACACAAGGTTATAAAACCCTGGATCAGTTTCTTAGATATTTCTATAGGCAGTTCCCACAGCACATAAGAAAAAGATCCATTCATTGGGGTCTGGGCTGCAGGATGAACTGCAGTTGTTCTGTGCTCATCCTCTGTTAGAAGTTCTGACTTGTCCTGACTTTAAAATCCATGGATGGGTTCTCTTCACAGTGGCAGAGCTGAGGTAGGAAGAGGCTGGGGAGGCGTATTCCAGTATTTCAGGGCAAAAAATGTTTTTATTTTAACATATAAATATCCTTATTTAAAGTGTTGATATTAAAGATAAAAATTGTAACAGAAACTCTTCCAAAAAAGCTACAAACCCCCATTCCTGATGCTTCTGTTTCCATCACAAAGAATATTCCACATTAGTAGAGTGTTGCTTTGCAGCCTGTTAGAAGAAGAGGTGATTGGGTCAGTTGACTTGTAGGTGTCAAAATCAGAACAGATTAAGCTAATTCCATCCATCCATCTTGCTAAGAAACATTCAAGCCCTTTCATCTCATTTCAGTATCCAAAGAGGACAGAGAGTTGCTGCATACAGAAGTCCTTGTGGAGAGGAGCAGCAGATCTGGGGTTTGACTGATGAGGCAGTCTCAGAAATGAAAGGTGTCAAAGCAGGAAGTCCTGACACAAACAGTTCGAAAAGTGTCACATTCCTGGAATCAGCTGGCACAAAGGACACTCCTGGACAGTTCTGTGGGGTCTTGAGCAGCCCAGGTTTCTTTGTTCCCTTCAGGTTGAACAGTATCCGTCCTTCATTGATAGCGGTGCCTTCCTTGTGCCCATTGTCTGTCTTATCTGTCACACAGTCACTGGAACAAGGACTGTCCGTTAGGACTTGCTTACACAGCAGCTGCAATAGCTACAGCAGGATGACTCCATGTGAACACTCATTCCACAGCCACGGGATCAGCTCCTGGTTCATACCATACCTTAAGTGGAGCAGCCTCAGTGTGTCAGTGTGCCTTACAAAGTTAAGGCAAGACCTGGGACCCAGCTCAGGGTTTCTAGTCACTTCTCCTTTATAAAGAATTCAGCTTTAAGAAAAGCAGTTGAAATGCTCCTGAGAATGACAAATAACAAATAACAAATAAAACCCAGAGCCATAAAACACAGTTAAAAAAAAAAAAAAAAAAAAAAAGGCAAAAAAGCATGCACTCCTAATCTATTGGCATGGGCATATAAAGCAGAATTAGTTGATAATCATATCAATTAATTGATAAAAATGCTAAAACCCATAATCAAAGCCTTTTCAGAAAGGTAATGAATAAGTAATCCACACAGACAATGTGGAAGGACTGCTGCTGCTGTGGGGCCAGGGAGCCATTAATTTGTCTATCCATACCCCTAGAGTTATTAAAGGATAAAAGCTTTGAACATTGCTGCAGAGTTCAATGAAAATAAAAAACTTATACTCAGCATACAGAAGCTCTCAGAAATGCAAATAAAGTATTAGAATGCATGAAGATGGCAAATAATTGAATATTATGGTTCTGTTTAACAAATTGCTTCTTTGCATGCAATTACTTCATCATGGTCTGATCTGAAATATGAGAGCAGGAATAAAGCTCAGAGAAAGATGCTGTGGATGACCAGAGGCCTGCAGTGAGTTTGCTGAAAGAAGAGTAAAACAGAATTGGGAGGGGATGAATGGTTTGGGTAAGGGCTCTTTCTGGGGGCTTGGGGTCCATCTCTTTAGTTGCATTTATTGCTGGTGGGGGGAAATGTCAGACAGACACAACAGGGTTGTGTCAGCACTTGGCTTTCTCCATCTTTGTGCTCCAGTTCTCATGCCCTGAGCATCATAAGAAGCACATGCTCCACACCACAGGTGACAACACCACGTCCTTGTAGTTCCGCTCCAACAGAAACACTGTCCCCAGCCTGACACCCTGCCAGCACTCCTTCTCGAGGGCGTCTGCCCTTGAGCTCTCCTTTCAGGCCTCCCGTGCCACAGTTGACTATTGCAAGAACAATAAGGATTTTTAGGGGCATTATGACTGGGTTAGTAAAACACAGCTGCCCCTGAAAGTCCCTCATTTTTCTTGCTGCCGCTCAGTCGGTCCCCAGGAGGGCAGGGTCTGACAGGGTCTGTTCTCTCCAGTGTGGCACACACAGCTCTGCTGGTGTGCCCAGAAGTGCCCCAGCCCCAGCACCCAGCCCACATGGCAGGGGAAGGTGTGCCACTGCTTTGCCATCTCTGTGGGCTCCTCCTGAGTGAACGCCGTGCTGAGTTTCAGCGGAATGCCAGATGGCTCCTCTGTCACTCGCAAGGATGCCACCAAAGGGAGCCTGGCACAGCTCACTGCAGGCAGCCCTGGAACTCCCCAGCCAGAGGGGCAAGAGGCAGGATTGCACTTGTTCTGTGGGTACTGCTTGTTCTGGCACCCATGTGAGCAGTGGTCTTTGGCCAGGGGAAGTGGAGAGCCCAGGGCTGACTGCCCCACACATCCCACACTGGGTCATACCCTGCAACCCCAGGGCACTTGCAGCTCCCCTGGGGACTCACAGCACTCAGGTCCCAGCAGGAAAGTTCACACCCATGTGCAGCAGCAGTTGCCTTTTATTTATTAAAAAAGCTGAGAATTTTAGGGAATTACTTCTGATTTCTTAACAACTTTCAGCTAAAGTAGTATCTGAAGAAGATCCATACATTTCCATCTAAAAAGGGGGTAAGTATTTGGCTGGGAATTTTCAACCCTCATTCACAAGTCCTCCTGGAAATCTCAGTCCAGCCTTGCATGTTCTTAGGGCAAGGAGTGAGGATGGATATGTGCTGAAGAGGAACACCCTCCACAGAGGTTTTGCATGCTCCCTCTTGGATTGCAAAGCCAGCACCAGGCTGTGCACTACAAGAAGAGTGAATATTGCCTAAGCTGCTTTTGGCTCCCTGCTGCCCCCGTCCCACTTCTAGATAAAGCACAATCAGATTCTGATGATCAAAGCACACATCTCTAGGTTACACTGATGTTAACTCAAATTATTTTTGTTGTGCTGTATCTGAAACTTAGAAAATGCAACAACAGAACAAAACCAAAGTGAAGGTAGAAAAATATTGCAGTTTCTAGAATTCTTCCAGCTTTAGTCATGGAAGGGGATTGTTAGAAACGGACAAAAGGCTGTTTCCCTTAATTTTTTAAGTGTGAATTTTGTCTTGACAGTTTCCTTTCAGAAACAAAAATTGAAAACAAATTGTCCCATACAAAACAAAGGGACAGATCCTCAGCTGGAATGGACTGGTATTACCAAGTGAGTAACACCCACTCACAGGAGAGATTCTGAGCCTTTTAAACAGCAGCTGCCGATCCTGCTGTGCCTGGACAAGAGCTTCAGCTCCGGGTTTAGATGGCAGCACTGCTGGATCTACATAGCTCAGAAAAGATGAAGGGCTGCCTTCAGAGCAGCTGAAAGTACACCAAGGCTCTGAGGACTCTGGGACTGTACACTTCCCAATGGACACGACACCAACAGAGCAACCCATATCAGCATGGCCCTGAAATTAATGAGCTGCTTTGGAGAAATGCTGTCAAAACTTCCAGAAACCATTCCATGTGGGGTTTGCTTTCTGGAACAAGGCGTGGCTCTGATTTTTCTCTCAAAACTGAGATCAGGCTGATCACCATCTTGAAAATTACAGGAGCAGCCCCCAAGAAAGTATTAACTGTACCGCGCAAAGGGAATGCACGGTGAGAGCTCTGATCCATCCTGGCCAGATCTGCTCCTGTCCCTCACCCACAAAAAATTAAAAATACACACATTAGGAGAATTCAGGAAGTGTCTAACTTTGCCAAGGAACACACCATGTCCCTATTGTCAGTGTCTCCAGCAGAGCTGCCCAGCTGAGCTCCTGGCCAGGAGATCCAGTGCTGGGAGAAGCTGCCTGGGACCCAAAAGGGCAGGAACACTGGAACACTACTGGAAGAGCACCATCCTCCAGGAATGAAAAGAGGTGGGTTTGACCACATGCATTTGACATCTCCTCTCTCTTTACAATCCTCATTTTGGAGCACTATATTTTTTTCTCCCACTCCCAACAACTCCAGAGGAGCTGGAAAGCCAGAGTTATTTTTAGGAGATGGTGCATCTAGGATCTGTTCTGACTGGGTCCCTTTGAAAATGGCAAGGTTGGATAATCAAACACATTACACAGACTTTCCATAGAGGCTGCTTTGCAAACGAGCCTCCCACCATTCAGATACCCAGGCGCCAATATTTCAAAGAGGAGCTTTTAATGCTGCCCTGGTTTGCCTCAGCATGGTGACCTCACTAGCATTTATACACAGAACCTTGCAGAACAAGCAGATTAAAGCAGCTGACTTTAAGTATATAAAATAAAACAATTAGTCATCAACAAGCTACTAGAGGCTGCCACATTACAGTTGAGGGGTAAGAGACCATGACCTGGCTCAGGCTGGCAAAGAAGATGGCAGAGCTGCCTGGTCAAATTGCCCGTGCGTGGGCAGAGCACACCCAGAGCAGCTCAGGTGGGAGCTCGCTGGTGTGATGAGTGACACATCAAACAGGACAGGGACAGGAAGGGAGAACAGTCAAGCAGTAGGAGAAAAATGCCAGGGGAGGAGCTGTGGCTGGAAGAGGCTCCATGATTCCTAGCAAATTAACCAGGGCATGGCCAACCAACCCAGTCTGGCCACTGCTGTCCTGCTAAAGTCTTGGAAGAAGAGGGAAAAGGGGACACATTGGAACAGCCTCTTGATAATGGTCCATCACTCATGCTGAGTTTCAGACAATGTCCAGGACTGGCTGGAGGAGTCCCAGGTCACAGTTCTGCCCAGGACCACTCTCAGTACCATTGGCTGGTGGGTTCAGTAGTGCAGCTGTAACCCAAGGTTCTGGCCCCAGCAGTGCTGGAGCAGCTAGAGAGGGCTGGGAGGGTATGGATAATGGCCAGCAGTGCCCATATGCCTGCTGGCTCCAGAGCAGTGTGTTCCCACAGAGCGTTGCCAGACTGATCAATGACAGGAAAAGCAGCCACGCCGCCGGCCTCGACCTGCCAGTGCTGGCCCCCAGTGCTCAACCCACCCAAACCCCAACTAGTGAGTTAAGAGAGAAGCTGTCAGCAAGAGGCTGCCCCACTTGGGCTCTGCTGGTCTGCCCAGCACTGAGGGAAGCAAAGAGTTATAGGAGAGCAGCAGTGAATTACCAAGCAAAAGGGTTTTTTAAAATCATTTCACTTTAAACAAAACTGAGACATTACTATAAAGTAAATGGCCACACCTTGCTCCTTACTCGGCTTTGCTGACAAGACCAGCTTTTCCATAGCTATTTAAATCTAACAAGTTCTGGGTGCCTAACTCACTCTTTTAAGCTCATTTTCAAACTCCAGCCAAAAATCACTTTCTGATTCACCACTTTCTCAGGCACAGTATTATTCACAGAAGGCCTGCAGGCAGGTACTGTGCTGTACAAAGTACATAAGCACAAGTTTAATTACTCTGTGGACAAGGGATGTGATTCATTGTATGCTTTAAGTTGAGCATGTGCTTAAGCATGCTACTGACCTGGAGCTTTAAGTAGATCTATCAGGTGTTCTGGTGCTCTCCATCTACCAGTTCTTTGAGGTCAAATAAGTGGAAAGAATGTAAGAATACTCCTGTGCTCATACACCCCAAAGAATTCACACAAAGTCCAGTTTCTAACTTTTTTAAAACCTACAAATTTGGACTTATTCTCCCCATTTTTGCACCAATACCATTTATTATTATGAGCATTACAATACTATAATATGGTCAGAATGTATTAGCATTAAAACATGAGCTAATTATTGTCATTTTCAAGCTTTTAAAAAACATATGGTTCAGTTTTTTACTTTGCCTGAATACTGCTTCAGGTAAGAACGTAGATTCATTTCATTTGCATACTTTGTGGATTAGCTCCCTTATGTCTGGGCAGTGTACAAAGTCCTAAAAAAAAAAGTATAGAGCATATAATTGAAACTATTGCCCCTGCTAGCAGTGGACTCATCGAATGGAAGAAGTCAAGCATAAAATGTGCATCAGCTATGGGTGGTCACGTAAATCCACATTTCATTAGCCACCGCTTACA